CAAGGTTTCCTTTTTCTTGCTCCTTGCGCCTCCTCCCCAACCTCTCCCCGTAAAATCCATCTGGGGAAGAAATTTCCTATGGGGGTTGAAGGGATGGGGGTGAGAAGCAGTTCAGGGACTGGGGTGGAGTGGAACTGGAGAGAGGCCTGTCCAGATTCAAGAGCAAGGCCTGTGAGCTCCCCCACCTCACACACCCCCCAGCAGGACCCACAGCTGGGGCTGTTTCTGTCCAGACACCCTGAGGCAGGAGTTCCTGGAGTGGTCACTTGCCTATCTTTTTGCTCCAGGCATTGAGGAAACCCAACGGACTCTACCGCTTGTCTCACTTCGTCCAGCTCTGCAGTGGTGCCTACTTCATGCACACCTCACCTTGGCACAGATCAGCCCTGTCCTCTTCCCCAAGGCCCAGGCTTCCCCCAACCACACCCCAGCTAAGTAAAGCCCCTCAACCGTTATCCCCCTCCACACGCACAACAGGTTTCCTTCATACCCGTGGCTATGCACACACACACACACACACACACACACACACACACACACACACATACCAGCAAAGCAGTTACGGAATTTCTCTTCTAAACATGCACGGTAAACTTTTACTGAATTGGGTAGAATACTATTTGACAACTAGACAAAATTAGACAAAACTTATGTTAATTTTTTTTACAAGATGCTTTTTTCCCTAGAGAAATCCGGCTCTGGCATCTTGTCTTCCTTGTTTGCACAAAAATAATTTTCACAAACCCCAATGAATGTCTGTAGGGGACATAATGCCTTGAGATTCATTTTCTCCTGCCTTTATTGCCCCTCAAAATATATACATTTTTACATCTCTGTTCTTCCTGTCTCTTCTTTTTCCTGTCCTCTTTTCCTTCTTCCTTGCCTTCTTGCCGCAAACCATGCGTTCTTTACTGAGAACCCGCTTGTAGGTTCCGGGTAGCTCCCTGGGCTTGCAGGGCAAACCCGCTTTGGCTGGCCTTCACCGCATTTCAATGCGGCGCCGAGATCCTCGTCCAGTCCCTAAAGCCGAACCCGTCCGGACTCATTTTCCGATGGGGAGAATAGCGGCGCCAATGCTTTTGACAAATAACCGCGGGGGGCCTAATGACGGTGGCAGCGGCAGTGGCTGCGACGGGCGCGGGTTGAACCCGCGCATTCACCAATCCGGTATCGTCGCATCCAGCCCGGAAGCTCACGATCAGGAACCTGGCGTTTTGATTTCCTACCACCGTGAGCATGGGGCAGCCTTCCTGTGTGATTGAGGGCTTCTCGGCGTTTTGCCGGACCCTCTAACTGCTTCCTGAGAGTCACGCCTGAAGCCGGGCGGGCGGCCAGGAGCTGGCCCGCTCCACCACGCCAGCCTGCCGGAGCCAGCCTTCCAGACGGGGCGAAAAAGGCCTGGGTGGCGGACGCCAGTCCCCTCCCCCCTCCCGGGTCAGAAACATTATTTTGCAGAGATCATAATTTCCTCTTAAGACCTGTGCCCGACTGAAAGTGAAGTCATCCTCCGGAGGCCCAAGAAGCCCAGGGGCCATGAAACTCTTGTGTGGGGCCGTGGAGTCCCCAAGTGCAGAGGCTGCGCGCTGAATTTTGCTGCCCAGGCAGAAGCCACCAAACCGAGACTGAGGTTGGGATGTACATCCAGGCATCCAAACCAGGAGAGCCTTCAATTCAAGTGAACCGGCATGCTCTACCCAGGCTGCACAGCCAGCCTGCTGTGAACTTCACCTGCAGTGTGAACCTGGGATCAGAGGAGGCAAGGAAGCAACAGCAAGTTACTTTCCTTCTTCTTCTTCTTTTTTTTTAGTCAAACAAATTATTTTATTATTGTCCTCAAGGCTACAGTTTCATTTTGCACGCGTACAAGTAGCGGGGGGATGTCACACTCGTGCACAAAAATGTGGAAGAGACTCCCCCGGACGCTTTCTGGGTAATTTGTCAGCCTTGGGACATGATGCTGCCTCCCAAACCTGGGTTCAGGGCTGCGCTGCAGAGCAAGGGCCGTCGCCTTCCAAGGCCCACCGCTGCGTCACTCCTTTATCAATTAGCGTCTGTACCGTGGCCAAATTCGGCACCAGGACTTCGTGGCCCACAGGCTCCCAGCAGGGGAAGTGGCCTGGGAGGATGCTCCCATCCAGCTGCAAGGATTGGGGGCGGGGTGGCCGCGTCTTCCAGAGAGACTTCAGAAAGAAGTAAGGAAGAGGCCCATGCCTTGGAGATGGAGAAAGACTGGCAGAAGTCTAACTGGGGTGCGTTCTTGGAAACCAGTCTGGGAAACTGGGAATCACCCAGCACCCCTGCGACCTGTTGCTGCGCAGTTCCGCAGAGTCCCCGGCTCTTGGCGGCGTGTGGGCGCCATCGGTGGTGAGCCTCGGCCAATATCGACGTCCTGGCCCTTGTAGATCAGACCTGGGGACACACACCACGAGGAATTTAGATTCCCTTGGTCTTTGGAAGTCGCCCAGCTGTCTGGAGCTTGAGGGTGCCCACCGCAGGCTCCCCTCAATCCCTCTCCCCGCCCTGGTCTCTGGGGACCTCTGGCTGCTGCCCGGGTGGAGAAGGGCTGAGCTAAGCCTCTGGTCGCACATAAACCTCAGAGCGCTGGGCAGGGAAGAGGTCAGGAAAGAGAGAGAACGAGTCGCCTGCCTGCCGACTGGGGCAGTCATGGGGTCCCCAACTCCCACACATGCTCATAGCCTCCATTTGTACATTTTTATAGCGAGTGGTGGCTAGTATATGGATGCGCCTGCTGGGACAGCCCCCGGTGGCCACTTGGGACCCAGTTCGACAGGCAGTACCTGTGTTCGATAGGCTCGCTGGCTCTCCAGCTTACCGGACCGGGAGAGACGTCCGCGGCCAGCGTGTGGCTCCGCGAATCCGCCGGCTCTCGGGACAGAGAATTCGCGGCAGAAGAGCCACCGGGCAACGCCGGGAGGGCTTGGAGACCTAGTCCTCCGCTCAAAAGCAAATGAGACTCAGCCCTGGACGGTTTTTAATTGCTCCCAAGGTTCTGGGGTTCCTGTTAGTTGAGAGTTAAGCCTACATTTGCCCTCTTAAAATACACTTCGGGTACCTCTCTCCCCCAACAATGACTACTGACCCCAGAAAGTGCTCCGTTGGCTCCGCTCAACCTTTTGGAAGAAGTAGTCTTGAAAAAAAATCTAGCTCTGGAAATGCTTTCCCTGAGAAGTGGCTTAGGAAATAAGGACACAGACTTCGGTGCTCCCCTTTTCAAAAAGAAGTTGAGAAAAAATTTTCTCTTGACAAATTGAATCATTTTATGTAAAACCAGGTTACACAGGGCTTTATTCCAATTAGCTTCTCTGCTTTGTCCCGTGAATGCACATGCCACCCCCTCCCATGGGTCCAGACGTTTTCGAGAGCCTCCAGAGACCCCTCTACGCTGCTCTGAGGGTCAACCAAACCTTTTGACCACGGGCGGCCTGAAAGCTTGTCTGTTTTCCCCACTTGTGAGTGGGTTTTTAAAGGGCCAACTCATGGACTGTCGAGTAGCTGTATCCCTCCTCCCCATCTTGCCTTCTGAGTTTGCCTTAATTAGGGGGTGGGGAAGTAGGATTGGAGGCCCGAGTCCAGGTCAAAACTGTCAAACAATGTGGGGGAAGGGGAGGTGGGGGGTTGAGAACTCCAGGAGCAGAAAAAAAATTCAAAAATGGTAAAAGGAAAAGGGGGAACTTGAAGCCCAGAAGTCATTGTTTCCTTTATTTCAAAGGGAAAAACCTGCCCGATTCTCATCCTTTTGATTGATTAAGGCCCTGAATACCTCGCAGCCCCAGAGTGACAGTCCCTGAATAGACTCGAGCGAATAAAGCGCAGTGCGGAGCGCGGGGCTGGCACTCAGGGGTGTAAAGGAGGCGAGTTCGCTGGCACTTACCAAGTTATACATAAAAGGCTATGCACAATGGTACCTTCTCTAAGGACAGACAGTCTTTACAACACTCCTGGCGTCATATCCTGCTGGGGACACTTCAGCTCTTAGCCAAGACTTCGCTCCTTTTATTTTTCCAGCAGTTTAGTCTGAATGCCATAATAAATTCCTGAGAACAAACGCTGCAGCCAGGCAAAACTTTAACATATAGACACATCTCTGTCGACGCATTGGGGATCTATATGTAGAGATTTAGAGCCCTGGCTTCCCAGAGGGGTTTTTTAATCAAGAAGAAGAGATGGTTTCTCTCCTCACCACCCTCCCCCTCTGCCCCCCACCCCACCCTTCAACTAGCGAGTCCTGGGGCCTAGCGACGGCTTCCTATGCTTCACAGTACACCGGCTTGCAGACTGAGAAGACAAAAGAACAGTATCAGCACACCCTGGCCTCCTCCTGCGAGGAACCCCACGGGGGACCCTGAGACAAGCCTAGGCCAAGGGGCACTGACCAGAGGAAGGAAAGCCAAACATGTCCAGGGCTCCAGATGCCTTCTTATTGGAATTGTGCCCCCTCCAGTGGCAGTAAGCCAAGGGAAATGAGAAAGACACACACACACACACACACACAGAGAGAGAGAGAGAGAGAGAGAGACCCACAGGTATAAAAACTGAGACATATAGACAGAAAGACACATGGATAGACAGAATGAAAGGAACAGGGTCAGAGACAGAGAAAGACACACGTGGAGAGACAAAGTCAGAAATAGAAAGCTAAGGGGAGAGAGAGATCAGAGATACACATAGAAAGTGGCAGACACAGACAAGAGAGACAGAGACCCCCTCTCCACCCTCAGCAACTGCCATCTGCCTGGGGCTGTCTCAGTTTCCACGGGTCCACCCTTCTCTCCCCGGGTAGGGGCGCAGCAAGGGTCCCTCTCCGGGCAGCAGAGGCCTCAGCACTATCAGGGATGGGAAGAGAAAGTGGCCGCTGTCGCCCAATCAGCGCGTGTCTCCGCCACCCGGGACGGTCTCCCCGTCGGCCAATCGCAGCTCAGGGCTCCTGACCAAGCTTTGGGTGAAAGAACATAATAAATGCTCCCGACTCGGATCCCCGCACTCGGTGTCACGACGGAGGAGACTCAGGCAGGCCGCGCTCCCGCCTCACCCCCCTCCCTGGCTCGTCGTGGCTCTCTGAGCCCCCTTTCCAGCGCCCCCAGCCGCGGGGCCAACCGCTCAGACTCGCACCAAACTTTTCCGCCCTGGGCTCGGGATTCTGGATTCTGGGGCCTCCCTGCCCGCCCCTTTCCCGGGTCCCATCTCCAGCCTCTGGACTAGGAGCCAGCAGCCCCCCTCCCAGCGTCCCTCCCACTCTCTCCAGCCTTTTTGGGGAGGGGCTCTCTACGCTCCGCAGAGTTCCCGAGGGTCAACCCGGCTGCGCTAGCCTTTCCGTTTCGCCTTCACCTGGATATAATTTCTGAGCGAAGCTGCCCCCAGGATGACCACGCTGGCCGGCGCTGTGCCCAGGATGATGCGGCCGGGCCCGGGGCAGAACTACCCGCGCAGCGGGTTCCCGCTGGAAGGTAAGGGAGGGCCTCAGCGCCGCCTCAATGCCGAGGTCTGGGACCGGCTGCCCTACTCCATCCCCAGGCTCCTTCGGTGCGTCCAGGAAGCCCATTCCCAGGCACCAACGGCCCCCTCCCCCCGCCCCAAGAAGCAACAGTCGGAGTCGAGGCCCCACTTTATTTCCTCTCTGCAAACGGAGCGCAGTGCTCGCTGCAAATCCCCGCGGAGCAGTGCGGCCCTGCCTGCGCCGGCCGGTCCACTTTCCCCTGTTGTTTTGAAAATGCCAGTAGTGGGGAATGGGGTGAACCGGCTTTTGAGCACCAGAAGCAAACTTCTCTGCGTTTTGTTCAGCCAAAGTCGTCTTGAAATTGTCCCGCTACACTTGTGAAATGTTACCTCGGGAAGAATTTTCATGCCGTGCAAAGTGGCTTGCCCTGCAAAGTTGTGGTGGCTGACGCAGCCCGCCATTGTGATTGGAATTTTCAGTATAAATTAATTCCTTATAATTCCGTGCATCTCAAATAGCGTCTCTGAAGTTTCTATAAACTTGTTTGGGAACCGCCTTTCAGTCAGTCGGAAGATCCTAGAAATCCCAGGGAGTCGGGAAGCGTTGCCAGTCTGAGCCCTTCCAAAAGGTTTTTGAGGTTTAGAGCCCGGATGCTGATCCGGTGGCTCCCCTCGTCCCGGGTCCAAAGTAGAATGTAACACCCACAGCGTGAATGGGGGTTAGGAGGCCCCCCAGCAGACCCTGCACTCTAGTCTCTGTCACACGGTGTAACAGGTGACAGGAGCTGCTGCCTGCGCTTCCTCTTGGGGACCCTCTTTGACCCTTGGCTGCTGCACTCTTAGCTAGAAATCCCAAGGGCTGACAGCTCACCCAAGTCCCTTAGAAAGGAAGTTATCCCAGTTGGACAGGGTTTGATGGGAGCAGCGTTCACCAAAGCCAGCACCTGGGTGAACCTCTCTCTTCCAGCAGGCTGTTGCTAGAGTAAGATTGACTTTGTCACAGCCTCAGGGTCTCCTTCCAAGTTGCCACCCCTCCTGGGCCCCAAAGGATGACAGTTTCTGTAGGGCAAGTTATTTTATTCCAGTTGCTCTCTTCACACAAGCTTATGTGCCCCTGAATGGCTTAGTAATTTTAACAAATGTGTTCGAAAGAGGATCTGGGACTGGGAGTCCCATGTCGAGCAGTTTCGGTGTTGGGGCTGTAACATGCACATTGGCCAGTTGGCTGCAAAATTAGGTGCTGCTAATCTCTCCTGCTGCTTTCTATTCTCCCCGAGTGACTTTCCCCTTGCCTCTCTTCTCCACCTTCTCTCCGCAGTGTCCACCCCCCTCGGCCAGGGCCGCGTCAACCAGCTTGGCGGCGTTTTCATCAACGGCAGGCCGCTGCCCAACCACATCCGCCACAAGATCGTGGAGATGGCCCACCACGGCATTCGGCCCTGCGTCATCTCGCGCCAGCTGCGCGTGTCCCACGGCTGCGTCTCTAAGATCCTGTGCAGGTATCAGGAGACGGGCTCCATACGTCCCGGTGCCATAGGCGGCAGCAAGCCCAAGGTGAGCGCCCGGGCCTGGCCCTGTCGCCTCCCCGCCTGCGGTTTCCGGGGTTGGGAAAGAGCCGGCAGGACGCAAGGGCTGACACCTGACGCTTTCCAAAGAGTTATTTTTCAAGTCCGTGAGGGGATGCGTGTATGAGTGTGTGTCTCTGTACCCCTTGATGAAAGCTAAAGGAAAACTTCAGCCTTTTTGCAAAAGAAAGATAACATTTTAAAAAACACCCCTGAACCTTGGAATCCTCATCAAATTATTTTAAGGGACAAACACCTAAAGCATGCAAGCTGTATGTGTCCACCTGTTGCGGAATTCTTCCCAGCTATCTTCCCAGCCTCCACTCCCAGGCACTGCCCTTTCCCAAACCTAAGAAATCCTTTTAGGTTTCATAATGGTTTATCTCCCAACCCATACCCTCAGTGTCCCCTAGTGCAAATTGTTTTCAAGGAGTCAGAAACTAGTGTGATTAGTTTTCTTTTGTAATGAGCCAATTGCTCCATTTAGAAAAGCAGTTTGGTGCTATCCTCAAATTATTTTGGTTCCCTTTTTAAAAAAGAAAGAGACCCACATTGGCTATGACTGAGCAGAAGGGCATTGCACAAGGTCTGCCTTTTCTGAGGGACGTGGAGAAAAGCCAGTGTAATATTCTATTTGCCATGGGGCAAAAATTAAGAGGGTTAGGATCAAAAAGATTTCCAAATACCCTCTACTTTCTCCCCACTTATCCAAACCCTTCCACAACTTTTCTGAGAATCTTTGTAAACTTTTTTTATTGGGGGGCGAGGAGGAGGAGGAGGAAGAGCCAGTCTCTCAAATTATCCATTTTTGTTATCCATTCTAATTTTTAAAAACCTAGATACCTTTTGCATTTCATTCTGGTCTTCACTTTACCTGAAATCTTGTGCCCCTTTGGAGAAGGACAAGTTGTAGATTTAACTTGATTTTTCAGTTCCTCTTTCAAGCATGCCTTGTTTAGTTTCATATTCATCTTGATTCTGGGTTAGGAGTTACCTTATTTCCAGGGATCAGAGAGTTCACCCTCCCCCCACCAAGATGTTATAATTGTTCTTAATATACCCTTGTTATCAGAGCTAAAGTGGGGAGCGGGAGGGTCCCCCGGCTGCTCTGGGGTGGGATGATTTCCTGTCCGCCCCTCTCTAAAGTAAACTGCTTTAGAGACTTTCGGTCCTTTTGTGAATATGGGGTGTCTTCCCAGAGGGTGCAGGGGGGACCATCCGGACGGGCCCTGAGGCTGTGGGGGCCGCCAGGTCCGGCCCAGAGTACCGGGTACCAACGCCGGCCCGCCTGTTCTCTTAAAGCAGGTGACAACGCCTGATGTGGAGAAGAAAATTGAGGAATACAAAAGAGAGAACCCCGGCATGTTCAGCTGGGAAATCCGAGACAAATTACTCAAGGACGCGGTCTGTGATCGAAACACCGTGCCCTCAGGTACTCGGCCCATTAACGTCTCCCCGGGGCGCGAGGTCGCCGGTCGCTTTTACCCAGGCGGGTCGCCGGAGCCATAATCACCCCAATTATCGATCGGGGCTATTGGGAGGCGGCCTCTCCTAAGGCCCTGAAATATTTACGAACCAGACGCTCTTGGCGTTTTATGGAGGGCGGGTGAGCCGCTGTCCTGGGGGCGGAGGGCTGAGAGACTGTCGCTGAGGTCTCCCCAAAGAGGATTTCTGTCCGGGAGGGAGGGCAGGAAACGTGAGGCGGAGGCCAAACGCTTATTAATATTGATGTTCCCTTTTAAAGAGAAACAAATGTTTGGGTAACCCCAACCGAAGCGAGATGGGGCAGCGCCAAGGCGAGACTTTGCCTCGTGCTCGGAGCGGGGGAGGCTTCGGCCAGGGCCGGGGTTGTCCCCGAGAGTCCCGGGACCATCCGGCGCCCCCGGCAGCCTCGGGGAGGCGGAGGGAGAAGAGGGGCGAGCGCGGGGCCAGTGCGAGGGCGCGCGGGAGAGTTTGTTTTTAATTAAAAGGAAACTCCCTTTTTCCCTCTTCGAGAACGATATATTTCAGAACATGGATTTGTTTACCAGACTGGAATCTGGAAAAAATAAATGGGAGAGAGTGCCTTTTCTTTTGATTTTTACAATAGGAAACGATTCTGCAGTTGAAATTGAAACCCTTTATAGCCTCGAAAAAATAGAAAAAAAAAGAAAAAGAAAGAAAACAAACAAACAAACAAACAAAAGTCACTTGAGTTTCAGGGGACAAGTCTGCAGTGTTTCTTTCTCCCTTAATGCAAACCCCGGGGCCCCTGCCTTCAGGTGGGGAGGAGGGAGGGTCCAGGGTGGGCCCAAGGGGGAATTCTTTTAGGTTAGAGACCTAGAGCACAGTCTATGGAGTCTAGAAGGGAACCTCTTTCTGCTGGGAAGAGAGGGACAGAGATGGCATTTCTCGGCCCTAACTTGGAGGCCCGGGCTTCCCAGGCTCGATCTGCCCCGTCCCTAGACGTCCATCATAGGGTGGGGAGTTTGAGCCGGAGGGTGAGAGGGTGGTGGCAGGACCGGGGTGCCCTGAGACGCAGGAGGAGACAGGCCGAGCATTGCTGGGCCGCTGTTCCAGAGACCTGGCCGAGGGTTGGGGGGCCGCTTCGTCTACCCTCCCCCGAGAGTCTCAATCCGTGCGCTCCCTTGCTCCCTTCCTCCTCCTGCCCCCAGTGAGCTCCATCAGCCGCATTCTGAGGAGTAAATTTGGCAAAGGCGAAGAGGAGGAGGCCGACCTAGAGAGGAAGGAGGCAGAGGAAAGCGAGAAGAAGGCCAAGCACAGCATCGACGGCATCCTGAGCGAGCGAGGTGAGTGGCGGCGCGTGGGGCCGCGTGCTCCGGCCGTGGCCGGCACCGGCTCTCTGACTCTGGGGTCCTGGCCTGGCAGGCCCAGGCTCAGGTCGGGGTCCCTCCTGGCTCACTGCCTCTGCGCCTGTCCTGGTAAGGGCATTCACTGGAAAGACCAGAAAGGCACAATTAAAACAAAAATATTCTCTATTGTGTTTAATTTTTCTATGTTGTAAATCTTCTGCACCATTTCCAGCTTCTCGGAGTGTAGAACTGTGAATTGCGCTGGTGGGAGGGGGTACCTTCTTGCCTGTAGGCGTAGGGGACTGGGCATCTCTGAGCTATTGAGGGGCTGGGGTTAGAGAGTACTTGAGCCTTTAGAAGTTGGAAGTAGCTTTTGTGTCCTCAGGGGAGGCCCTGGTCTCTAGACTTTCCCACACTAAAAGGGGGGGACTCTTCGGGGCAGTGGACCCCAAACTTGCCCCACGTTGGCTGCCTTCTAAACGTGTGTATGTTGGCTGTTTTTGATTTGTTTTAAATTGGTTTTCAAATGTGTCTGGAAATCGAAAGGAGCCCAAGCTCTGAGTTACAAATCTGAGTGAGGGTTCTGGATTCTTGGACTCCTAGCGCTGGCACCCTCTGTCCCCTAGGGGTGTGGACCACCTACTCCTTGTTGGCAGTGGCCTGTTGGCTACAAGAAAAAAATCTCCCCCTAGGGAAGCCAGAAGTGTGGCTTGCTTCCCCTTCACCTGCTGCTAGTCACCTCCAACTCTAAAGGTACACAAAAAGACGGAAAGAAAAGAAAGTCAATGTGGTTGGAGTTGAACCAGGAAAGGAATTGTGGGGAATTCACTGGGAAAGGGGGAATTGTGCCTCAGTAGCTTTGGCCTTGGAGATGGTTGCTTCTCTTGGAATTTAACAATTGTTAAAGTGGCCAGGGGCCACTCGTGCACCTAGAGTTTCCCCATGTGGGGCTTGCACTTTGTTGGGCAGAGATGAGTTTTGGAGTTGCCCTGGAGGGGCAGGCAGCTCTCCAGGTGGGCTTATATCGGTCAATGATGGTGACCCAGTGTGGGACTTTTTTAAATCTTCATTGCCAACTGTGGGGCAGCCGCTGGCTCTTTGGAGCAGCTGCTTTACGAACAAATGCAAAATCTGTACACAACCTTGAAGGAATACTTTAGAGTTGGATGTTACAAATCCAAATGCCTGATTTCAAGGACAAATAGAAATGTAGATGTTCTGGTGTGCACATGAAATCAAGAAGACACCCCCAGACCACAGCGGGTTGGGCAGGGAGACAGAAAATGCTGTTGCTTTCTTCCCTTTTCAGCAGGGGCCCCACGTGGACTCCGTCTAAACCCCTCTTTTTGGAGGGGTGGGTGTCTGCCCTGGTCTCTGAGAAGACACCTCAGCTTTTATCCCCGGCCTACCTGCAGCGTAGAGGTGCTAGGAAGGGAGGAAGGCAAGGGCTCAGACAACCCTAACCCAAATATGTCCCTGTGGGCAGTGGGGAGAAGAGCCCAGAGCGGGTTGGAGAGGCTTGGGGGCCCACTGGCTTTGCTACTTGTTGCTGGAGGCGCCGGCGCAGCAGCCCGGCTGCTCCTTCACAGTACAGGCGATCGAGGCCCGGGAGACAAAACGTCCCAAATGAGCTGGTCAAACATTTGTACAACTTTTCCAGCTTTTACAAAGAAGGCCTTCTCTACACAATCTACACTTGGAGATGAACTTGAGAGACAAAGCCTGGAGAGTCCATTGAAACTCACACTTTAGCTCAGCCCAGACAAAGCTCCAGCTCGGAGCAGCTTGATGTGAACAAAGGAAGGCAACCTTTTTATAATTCAAGGAGAAAAGAAGAGAAAACAGCACCACAAAAGGCCGAGAATAGACATTATGGGCTTGCAATGAGGGATGAATTATTCAATGAGCCCCAATAGCTGCTGCGCCAGGAAGTTTTATGGACTCTCCAGCGTGGAAAAAGTGGCCATTTCACCTACAAAATGTTTCTAGTCTTTTGGGCCGTCTAGCTGGGCCGGCTGCCATTCAAGGGCAATTGCTACCATTTTTAAAATCAGTATTCTCCCCAGTGGGGGCTGTGCTGTTGAAACACACACACACACACACACACACACACACACACACACACACACACACCTTGGGGGCTGAAGCCTAATTTAATTTAGGGTTGTCAAGGAAGATGCAGCGTCAGTCCCTCCAGCTTCCTTCTGAATGAACCCTGGAGGGCAAGAGAGGCCCAGAGCAAGGATAGATGGAGGTGTAGTTTGAAGTCTGGAAACCTTAAAAATTCCCCTCTGTTGTTTGGGCATCAAAAGTCCCAGGCTGCCCGCTTGCAAAAAAGAGTGAATGTTGTTAAAGGGCAGCTAGAGCTGTGCCCTGGCCCAGGGGGAGGGAAAGCTGACAAAGGAGGGACTTTGGGTGCCATGACCTGTGTGGTGTGCTACTGCTGGAGGTTCCAGCTTAGTGAGCCTGGTGGGTCCTGCTGAGATTGACTTTTCAGGGGACATCTTTGGCCTGGGGTCTGCTTGTCAGATACAAAGACACAGGGAAAGAGACACCCTGAAAGAGGTCAGAAGCACCCTCGTTTTTTTCTCTCCAGGGTATGGCCTTTTCTCCTAGATGTTCCCCTTTATCTTCCCAACTTTCCCTTTTCCCTCGCCCAATCCAAGAGCAGCGCAGCGTGCGGCCCTGGTGCGCTCAGGCTAGTGAGCCCTGGCGGGCGCGCACTAGGCGCTGTGCGCCCCTGCTGAGTCCAACCTTCCAGCCCCCAGCCCGAGTGAAAGAAGAACGTTGGGCGGCCCACGAACACCCGGGCCCTTGGTTCCCCCGCCCCCCGCTTGCCCTTGGCCCGCACTGAGATGGGAGCAGGCGCAGCCGGGGAAGCCAAGCCCTGGCCGAGGCATCGGGGGCTGTGGGCACGGCCCGCGCTGCGGCTGCTCAATGGGCGCCTCTGTTCCTCCCCCGGCTTGGCCGAGCGGGCCCGCGGGCGCCGCCACAATGGGCTGGGCCCCCACTCCTGCGCCCTGCGCCAAAGCGCCGCGCCGCGCCGCCCCCTCCCCTACGCTCCGGCCGGCTCGAAGCTTAGCTCGCCGGGCTGCAGCCGACTCAATTGCCTCCTTTATGTCCTTCTCACTTTCATCTAGACACAGACCGCCTCCCCCCTTCTTCTCTTTTTTTTTCTCCCTTGCCTGAGGCTCACATTAGTGAAATTTCTGCAACCTCCCCCCATTTTTTCCCCTGATTTTAAAGAAAGCCCTTAACACAAAAGCAGTGACTAATCAATAGAAACTTCATCATCTCCTCCTCCTCTTCTTCCTCCCCCTCCTCTTCTTTCTCTTCCTCCTCCTCCTCCTCCGCCTCCTCCTTCTCCTCCTCCTCCTCCTCCTCCAAGAGGGTGACGCTTTTCCTGTTTGTGAGTTTTGGGAAACATTTTTGCTTTGTGCCGTAATGGAATTAGAGGACAGATGAGGACTGTAAATGGACACGCGACTGCAAGACTCTCGCTTAAATATTTAGACGCAACGTTACAATTACTGACTTGTTGTAGCGGCTTTGAAGTGGCAGCTCGGGAGTGCAGGGGGAGAGAGGCCAGATTGCCAAATCGATGTTTTGATTGGGACTGGAGATACACTCTCACAAGGCTTTCCTCCCTTTTAAAATCACAAGTGAGCGTGGGAGGTTTGCAGCAATTTAAAGGACTTCAAGCATAGGTCGCTGGGGACTTGTATTCCTTTCCTATCCCTGCCCTCCTATTTGACGTTTACGAAAAAGAGTGGCCCCCCCCCCCGCGCTTTTTTTTTTAATTTGAGAAAGTAAAAGTGACAACATGTTTTGCTCGAGTTTCCGTTTCGTTTGTAAGCTTATGAGCTTTTCTGAGATTGACGAGGAGGATTTCGGCTTTCCGCGGGGGCCTGAGATACAGCAGTTAAAAATCGCAGGGAAGTTTTAAAGGTCTTTGGAGCACTTCATTTCCAGTGGAATCGTGACAAGGGCACTTTTATCATTGAGGGAGCGCTGCAATCCGGGGAGACGCGGGGCCGTTTCTTCCCCGGGTGTTTAGCGACCAACGAAACTTTGGCGCAGCGCTGGGGGCAGGGGAGGCGGCGGAAAACTTTCCCAGACGTTCAAATCATGAGATACAGAATCATAGGCTTGTGGCATCGGAACCTTTATTAAAACGGACAGCCCAGCCCACTCTCCAAGTCTATTTGTCAGGATCATGAATTTGACCTCGACGTCGTTTTCTAGTCTTTAGAATAAATTTCATGTTTTCCGAAGTCCTTGCAAAATCCAACATGGTAAATGTCACTCATGTTTTAAAAAGCGCTACAAATATCAGAACGCGAGTTAAATGAGAGCGCCATGCTGTTCTTTCCCTTAACGTGGAAGTCACGATTTTCCTACTGGGACGATTTGAAAGGAAACACCAGAGTTCGGCCCATAGCCTTTTCTTTTTCGCCTGTTTGGTTTGGTTGGCTGCTGTACGCTTACTTTCTAGCCTCATTGAAAACATGCAGATTCCCCAATTGATGCTTGAAATTGTATGTTTATTTTGGGGTTTGATTTGGTTGTTGATAGCACCGGAACGGGGACGTAGGGGCTTCAAGTGCGTAATAATTACTGAAGGGTCATTTAAAAGTCCCCAGGGCTGAGCATAAAAACCCGCCCGGCGGTGAGGCGGAACCAGCAAGTGCGCCGCGGTTCAGGCCAGTGGAATATACAGAAATCAATCACGTGAATAGGGAGCTTTGCTACTAAATCCGGATGGTTTCGACACCCATGCATACATATATTTTGGGGACATATACAAAAAAAAAAAATCCTTCCTGACCATGAAATTAAATGTGTAAGTTGTTCATAAGCAAATGGCCAATGAAAATTAATAATTGCAACAACAGCAACAAACGAATGGGGAGAGAGGTAGAATTTGGCTTGGGCTGGAACAGAGAAGGTTTAAGTTGGATGGGATTCTATGACAGGTAACTTATTTATGCGGGTAA